TATTATTATTATTATTATTATTATTATTACTACTAACAGTAATCCGTCCAAATTTGGAAAATAGGGTGGTGCATACACCAAAAAGAACTTACTCTAAGCCCTAAGTGTGTATACTTCGATGTATGTACCTATGCGAAAATGCAACCAACTATACACGCTCGTCTAGACATTTAAACCGGCTCATATTTTTCCAATTTTTTTCTGTCACCATAAGGATACGTCAAAACTAGCGACTCTTAGTCAAAGATTCTGTTTAAACGAGAGAATCCTGGATATCGAAAGCAAAATTCAAGCCTTTAATTAAACGTTTTAATAGTTGTACAATGTTGTGCTATGAGTTATCCCATTTCCTTGTGACTTTACGCGCCATCTACCGATAGTTTTCATGATTTTCAATTTTTCACCCTTATAAAAAGTGTTACTTTTTAATTTTCGCAAAATACCGGTGACTAATTAATTAATACAGAGTCTAATTAACTCGAGTGGTATATACGGAACTTATTATTAAGTCAGTCCCTTCGACTCTTGCACGAAATCCTTTATGTGCGCACGAGGTTCCATTAGATACGAGTTAATTCCTTGATTTTATTTGAATAGTCGTCCTAAAACGTCCAAGCGTTTTCCGAGCGTCTTCATTAACGCTAACCATAAAGTAATCGTCGTTAATTGATTAAGCTTAATAAAAGCGAGTAGTAGATAGTCGAGGAAACCGAATTAGGTTGTTCTGAAGGCATTCTTGTCAACTTAGAGACGACGCAGTTACTTTTATATACGGCTGCGTTTCGAATAACCTGAAGAGGACGAGCACCGGGCGGCAACGAGTAACAAAGAGAACAGAAGAGAGGACCATCACGACGACGTATTAGTGTAATTGAACAGAAGTTGCCAGTCTGAAAAGACATCTACCATTGCATGAGCCGGTAAAACAGACACTAATCGAATTGTGGATCTTTTATTTTGTTACGAACGTCTTTCCAACCCCCAACTTTCTCTTGCTGCTTTATTTTACTCTTGATGAGAGCTTTCATGCCACGCACGAACCTGTCCTGTCAATTTCTACTTGACTAATTATATGTGTTGCATTTATTTTATTATTATTTATAAATATTGCCAATTTTACGCATTTTAAATTACGTTATCAAAACAAATACGTTGTTAACACTTTCGTTTTTTTTCTTTTGAGAACGCGAAAGAATTCCAAGTGCAAAATAAATTTCGCTGATGATAATTCTTTGCCAGTGAAAAGTAATAAATTAAATTCCGTCGACCTCTTAAAATTCCACTTGGCGTTCATTTATCCGGCCGGTGAAACTTTAATGCAGTTTAATTTAAAAATGATCGTTCTAACTTAGTTCCGCGTTAAAATTTTACGAACGCCATTCTAATTTGATGCTAATTAGTTAACAGACGTTACCGTTTTGAATATGAAATGAATACAAACCGGCAATCACGTTGATGCTACCACATCTCACTCATATCACTTGTATTTTCTCTTAATCATAAACAGTAGCGGATCATTTGGTAAACGTTTCAATACAAGTAATTTCTTTTATCTATATCTGAAATTATTAAGCACAAATATGTCTTTAAACGTCTAAATATGTAGTAGAACTTTTATAAAAATTAGATTTTATAAACATATACGGTCTAATGAAGTTCTAAAATTTATTAACATCACAATTTACTATCTCTACACCACACCAGGCGGTGATGTGCTTGTGTTTGACTAAAAAAAAATAAGACAACTTCAAAAGCTTCAATAGAATTAATCTTAAAAGTAACACCCCATTTATTTTATTACCAGGCGCTACTAATCCGTCTAAATTCGCAGCTTTAGGTATGCTAGGAAGATGATGAAGAGAGAAGCGAGACGGGCTTCCGACGTAACGCGCAGAACTACCCCGTGCGGACCAGTTCAATAATGGTATAAAAATTTCATTTCAACATACGATAATCCTCTAATTTTTCTGAAAAAAAAATCAAGGTGGTACCGCCACTGTGTGTATAGGTAGGTTTTCCTACGCAAGGCTGGAGTGAGTGGATTAAAACTCGAACTGTGTCGCCGATGTTTTTGTTGTTGTTTGTTGTTGATGTCGTTGTTGTGCCTAGTTACGTCGAGTGAGAGAGCTTCTTTCACGGCAAACAAACCGTTTCGACTTTTAATTACCTGTTCGGTAATGGACGTATCGTGTTGGACAAGAAAGTGGCGCCGTCCGAACAATTGACGACGACCGCCACACATCGCGTTCGAATGCGACTCGTCCCCTCGGCGAAAAAACGACGACCACTCGCAATAAGAACGCGCTCACGACAAATTCTAATTAAAACAAAACAAAAACAAACGAACTAATGCACACGTAACAACTTTACCTTTTTCTTTCGCAGTAAGTGATTTTATTACAGGAATAGATGCACTTTAAAAATGAATGATGAACGTGCCTCACAAAATAACGAATATAATGGAAAAATATAAACAATAATCCTTCTTCACGTGTTAGACCTTTGTGGGGGTTAACGGCCAATGAAATTAAATAATAAACAATAAATATCCTTTTCCAAGCACTTATCTGCTATTTTCTAGGTAAACGGTTGCGTAAATTGAAGTGCAACAGTCCGCGCCGATATAAAAATTGCAAATTGTAGTAATGCAAGGAAGCCCGAGCGGGCTATATGTATACGCGCGACCCAGGTGAAAAGAATGAAAATTAATTATCCTGTTCGTATTAAACATAACAGCTAATTTGTTATGTGTGGAAATTACGTTATCAAAGTTGGCTATGTAAATCATAATTAAAATATCGCGCCAACCGCAACTGCGCTACACTACGGTCGACGTTAGTGCTACGTTAATAATTGAATGTCGACGGCGATTAGCGAAATACGTTTACGAACGCGTAGAAAACACCAACCAAACGAGCGGCAAACTTTTATGCCTGTTATTAATCGATAGAATTAAACACTGCTTTTAGTTATAAAGAGGTAAAATCGTTCTACCATTTTCCTTTTTATTTTTTCAATCCTCTCAGACCCCAGGGGAGTATGCAGAAGAAACCTAAAGGGGCGTAGGGCAATGGTGAAAGGAGAGTACAAAAACATAAGTTGTTTAAACCCAATAACCCTTAGAACAGCAATCAGCGCTTTTAATATACAGTTGATATGAGATATGTCGATAAATTAACACGGCTGCTTAAGTTGCTTTAGCGCATTGTGTAGCTACCCCTGGTTTATGGGCTTATGGGGGTATTTATGGTTTAAGTTAAAGGTTTAAAACACTTAGGTTACGATGTTTAAACCTCTTGACTTTATTGCTGTTTTGTGTTATTGGGTTTTAAATTTCGTGGAAGTTTGGGAGCTACATTCAAGAGTACTGGTAGTCAAGCGTTATGTAGAGGCAATTCGATTGCAATTAACGCCTGGCATGACGTCTAGTTAGCTAAAAACTAACTGTCAAACGATTTATTAAGCGTCGGATCACGATCGCAATACCTCTAGTGGAACAGGAGCCTTACTTTCCCCTAAACTTATCTATAGAGATACGGACGAGGTATTTAGTACTTCTCAGTTTCTTTGCTCATTTTTCCTAAACTTCATCTAAGGATGTAGAGGTTTCTGGCACTGGTCACTTTTTCTTTATTCCCTCTAAAGGTTCAGGGCTTTAGGAATGATGAAAAATATGTTTAAAGGATTTAGGGGTTGTTTTGTTGTTGTTTTCTCACAATATCTGAAATTTCTCCTTTATAGTACTTAATTTTCAAGCACCAGACCTTAACCGCGTTCTATAAGAGAAAAACCTCTTTCGTTGTTATGTTCGTTTTCCGTATTTTTTTTTTAATTTCGGTCTAGCAGTTTAGCTATTGGAGCTTATCAAACAATCATGAAGCTTTCAAAAAAGATTTGGATCATCATCTTAATCATATGGTCGTCAGTCCTAAAACTGGTTATACACGCATCGCCTCCACTCTATCCTATCCTGAGCTAATCTTCTCATTTCCCAAAATCTAAAGCTTAAATATTAATAAATGATTATTCTGGTTCGTTCTGGACTTTTAAAGCTATTCCATGAAAACACCCTGTACGTTGCAATTAAGAGGCAATCCATAAAAAGTTCGTTTCGAGGCATTTCAAGTATAAATCTTGAGCCTTTTTCGCCTTATATTTTTCAAAAATTAATCGTCTCCATTAACAGAGTCGTTTTGGCGTTGGAAAGTTCGTTTATACGAAACTGTTTCGCCACCGAGTCGGCGGCGCAGAAAAGCGCCTTCTTCGCTTATTATTAATTGCCATATTCTAATTAAAATTTCAACCCCAGTAGAGGCGCTCCGCTCGCCATAAATGAGGGTCCTAATTAGCACTGCTCCCGCGCTGTTTAATTACCTGTTAATTAAATATGAAAGCTTCATTCTATCATCGCTTCCCACCATTATACACCGAGGCCGTTGCCGCTATGCTAACGTTCAACGTTAACTTTGCCATTACACTACCTACCTCCTTTACCAACATCAAACTACCAATCATCCATCCAACATTTTACCTACTACAATTATGCCTAATATCCAAGGAGTGGTTTTAACGATTACAATAAGCCGTGTAGCTAATATGTACACTTTATAAATCTGAGATGAACAAGACTCTTCACCTTTAATTCCCTACGCAGGCAATTCAGTGACACATAGGACGATCGAAATATTTTCAACATGACTTCTTCTGCGATACTACAAAACCTTCATCAAACTACAGAATTTAGCATCCATACAAGTCATCGAGATCGAATTGCGACCTCCCATTTTGAATCCTTTAACAATTTGGGATAGATGTCAACTGGAACTATTGCAAATTTCAAGTTGCAAACGAAAGGTCAACGCGACGTTTCTATTTTACGTTTTGACAGGAAACCTTAAAAAACTATCTATACTTGTATCTATAACGGTTTGAATTGTCACGCATTATTAACCGTTTTGTTTGGGAAGAAGATCGCGACGAAAATCTAAATCTCTTGAGGGAAAACGACGTGAGGGATGAATGGAAGAGGGAGAAAGACCAACGGGTCCGGTAGGTAGAAAGAGGTTCACGGTTGACGCCCTAAAAGCCCATGGATTATGCAGTAACCAACAGAACGTCGGTATTAATAATGCACCTCAACACCGGTCTAGTGTTTAATCCTTGAAATATTCACTTCGCCAGTCGACACAACAAGAGTCAGCAACGACTGACTGACTGGATATGGTTTAACTCTTTGTCCTTTCTAAATCAACCGCTACCAACTAGTACAATAAATAGCTGTACAATACATGTGGTGGTAACAATGGTAACGAGGCAGTGAGTGACAAATAAAGCCCTTATCGCGCGGGGATGGAGTGACAACATGCCCATATTATATTACGCAACGGCGACGAAAAGGATTCAAACAGATCAATTAGCGTTACATCGTTACCGCTGATGGTGCCGTACGTTTCGTACGAAACGTACGTCACACCTCGTTAGTTTCGGAGCCGTTGCCTATTTATGAATGCACCGGTTAATTATCTACAACACGTTTAATTATTTATTGGATTTTGCACTCAACACGTTCGGTATGAGAGAAAAACTACAAAAAAAAAAACAGGATCGCCTTTTTTTGCGAGCAATCAACGAATATTTATTACTATGTTCGAAACTGTCTGTTCTTAATTACGCAGAATCAGAAGTTGATGGGACACCTGAAGGAAAGAGAAATTTTATTTGCCCAAATAGGAGTGCCGTTTTTAGTTTAACTTCTACTTATAACTAGCAGTCGACAAAACAAAGCCTAATTTTACTAAATTCGTAACTCATTAAACTTCATTAAAAAATGTAGCTTGTTCCTTCCCAAAATAATTTTCTTACATATTTGCGTTTCTTTTAAATCGTGTATCTAAAGAACTCAGAGTGACTATAACTATAACAACAACACTTCTCCAATTCGAATTTAGTAGTAAACAAAAGCCAGTTCAATAACACCTTTGTAATCAAATGTAAAAAGAATTGTGACTTCAGAGGACTCTAACAGGATCGCCAGAAAGAGGGGATTAGGGCGGGAATATCAGATAAGAACATCGATAGTGTGCATGTTTTGTAAAATCGTCACAGGGTTGCCTTGAATACAATACTTTCGAATGGCTCATCGGTATCAAGTTCATCCGGACCAAAGAAAGCAACGATGAGCTCAAGGTTTAGATGAAATGAAAGATAATCGCAATTGTTAATTCTAAAGGCATTGTTCACAAGTTTATCCTTCGCGGATGAACAATAAACTAACATGTTAAGCTATATACACGTCCTTGAATATTTAAGAAAACTTGTTTTAAAAGTTCGTCCTCAAGCAGTCAAAATATGGAAGCTCCCCAACAATACGCTCTTGTTCTAGTAGGTACTCGTATTGCCTCAAAAAGAAACTCTTTTATAGTCCTACAGCTGTGATTTAGTAGCATTGCAAACATCCAAAATTCCCCGACGATACTCTTCAACATTATCCTAATTCAAAATCATCCCCCGCTTATTACAACAAATAGAAAACACGTTGTGGTCGGGGGTAACACTGAATTATGGCATTTTTAAATACACGACTTTTTTAAAAACCACTGCCAGCATTATCCTTGATGTAAATAATTTTGAAATGCTTGTTCTAGGAGACAAACAGCTGAAGAACGAGAGGCCGAACGGCAAGCTGCGAATCGTCTCATGTTGTCCTTTCAAGCCGAAGCTATTACAAAAGGTTACATGCCCGAAGCCCCCCCGCCGGCGACCGGCCCTGGCGACACGGCCCTAAGCGCCCTACAGAACCTACAACCCTGGGCCGGACCCTACAACGCACCCCAACCCGCGTTAGCTGAATCGTTGTGTTAAAAAAAGCTAATTAGTTCGTTAAGTAGTGACGGTGTATGAGAAAAAAAATGACAAAAACGCGCCTAAATCGAAAAGACTGTGCAATATCTTAAAGAAAAGTTCATTTAGGTGCTTCTTGGACTCATTGTACGTAACGCAAAAAAAGGACGTTTTCGAAATGGGCAAACACCCACCTTATCTTTCTGATACTGTTGAAGTGTGATCTGTGTAGTATAACTATTGTTAGTTCGTCGTAAAAATAACTTAACAATAGGGTAATGACGCTACATTGTATTATTAACCGCTTTAAAATACTCAATAAACACCCTATGGATTCACGTTTAGTCGTTTTTGAACTCAAAATTCTTAAAGCTTATTCACACTCAACAAAGGGTACATAAATGTGTTTTATACTCAAAGCAATATTATAATTCCTTGATTTTTTGTGTACAATCCGGAAAAAGGTAGGTTTATTTTGCATTTACCTTAATTTAATCATAAAGTGAATACAATACCTAAGTAGAACTAATTAAAAGTGAACGTTCTACTTCGTTCATGTTGTCTTTTCCTACAGTAATCTAACCATCTTAACCTAGCCAACCGTTTTGCTGTTTCCATAATATAATATTGAATGTCACAGTGATAATCGTCATCATCATAAGGTCGTCAGTCCTAAGACTGGTTGGACACGTACCTCCACTCTTTCCTTTGTGATCAGTGATAATATGATGGTAATAATTCCAACCCCTACAGATAATCCACGAAATGTAGAAGTAAAATGGTACGCATACACATACATCTAGATACAGAAGTATATTGTGTAGTCCAGACGAGCTGGTTCGTCTTTTTAGAAAGGCAGGGAAAAATTAAAATCTGCCTGCCAGAAGTAAATGTCAAATCAATTTCGAATTAAAACGTGAAAGCAATTTAACGCGCTTATCCGGTGAACAGCGGGTGATAACCACACATAGAAGGGGCAACAATCGGATTAGCCACTTAGCGTCAACTTTGAGTAATGGTTGGTAACCCTGCTCTCCCCAACTCATGCTGCTACTGCTGTTGCTGATTAAAATGTAATCTAATATTGCCGCCCGAAAATATACTACGCGATCCAGCGAACACTATTATGTGCCATTTTGGTTACCGAAACAACCTAGACATGACTGTTCGTTGTTCGTTTGTTCGTTACGTTTTGCTGGATTTCGCAGGCGAACGAACGGAAAAAAATAATGAAAAAGTGCGACATCCCGAAGATAAAGGGATTAAAAATTCGCTAAACCAACACTTATGTCAAAATATTCAGCCTACATGATGGCCTAATAGAATCTCTTATGGGGAATAACAAAAGAACACGCTTGCATATTTAATTGCACTGCCCTTGAAAGAGAAACAAACGCAGAATTTATTTACTGAAAAATTAGTTGTTTAGCAAAATCATACATAAACAACTTGCTACAGCGGAACTTCTAGATAACATTTCGCATGAGTATCTTCCATTGTTTCCTCGTTTTAAAAGTAAAAGCTACGCTAGGTAAAGATGCATATCTTAAAAAAAAGCAAGATAAATTGAAAATAAATATCTCTCCCATAAATTAACTAGAGTGTTCACCGGCGACAAATGACCCACCAATCTAGTAGCCATCGGAGATTTATGGTGTTTTTATGGTCAGATCGGCTAAACCTACAATGGACTACCTCGATCTGGGCGGCCTTCTCGACTCTTTTGTGAATGAACTTGCAAAAAGTTATTCTTTTGTAACTGCACTGCTCCTTCAGAACATAAATTACCTACGTATATAAACTGCGAGCAAATTGCTACATACGGAACCGAGCGGCATGGCCTAGAGGTCTAGACCATTGCCTAGCATTCGGGAGGACGCCGGTTCGATTCCGGGTCCGTCTGCCTTGGTCCAAGTTTTTCTGTGGTTTCCTTGGATCACTTAGGCAAATGCTGAGGCAGTAATATTCCACAGATAATCTTTCACTCTCTTCTGTCTTCATTTCGTCCGTCTCATCTTTCTCACCCGATCCATCACCCACCCATTCCCACGATTCCTGAAAGCAGGCTGAAGAGGGCCTTCCGCCCTACCTTCCGGCATAGTTCGGAGGGACTGCCCGTCCACCAGCATTACTGGCTGGTGGGAATGAAACACTCAAAAGTTTTTTTTTTTTTTTGCTACATACGGAGATCGCGACTAGGAAACTTTAAAAGGTTTGAAGAAGTTTTATAAAATTTCTGGCTTCAATTGCTCTTTACTCCACCTAATATTCAACACGTCCCCACGACGGTGGGGGAGGCAGAAAAGAAAAGATTAGAAGCGTTCACAACGTGGTGTTACAGGCGAATGATGAGGATACCGTGGATAGAGAAGGTTAGAAATGAAGAGATATTAGAAAGAATAGGTGAACGTTGGACTCTGTGGAAGTCAATAAGAAATAGGCGAGATAGGTTGGTAGGACACCTTCTCGAGCACGAAGGACTAGTTTTAAGGAAATGCGAAGATTAGGATGATGATAAAATCCCAAAAAGTATAGATACTGATTATATACATTTCTTTCAACCCTGGATAAAGAAAAGTTGAAATACGTTGAAAGTAAAACGTCTACTCCCCCAACTGGAGTTAGTTTTATAAATCCCAAAGCTAGTCATCAAAGATAACTACGTAATAAGCATAACAGAAGTTAAAGAAAATTAGAAATTACATATTAATATCGCATTAAAATAATACCTCTATGGTTTTTTATAAAACCTGAAAATTATTCAACTTATTTAGCCCTCAAAAACATAACAACAAAAACGCCGGTGCAATTGGGCCATATCGGTTCCAGACAAGTACGGTCGCGACAGTTTCCGCTAACACCTGTCATTAGATCCTTTATTTCCACTCATCCAGAGCCTTTGTGTGTTTTGCGGTTAATGATCGAAAATGGTCGAGCAGTAGAAGGCGGTCGGGGAATCACCGAAATTACTCCTCGATCCCCGCAGAAGAAATTAATGTCATTTCACAGGAACCGAAATCATTATTTCGACTTTCGACGTTTAAATAACCATTATCAACGCGTAATGGTAAACATGGGTGTGACAGAGGTCTCCTATTAAAACCGATGGTCTCCCCAAATTTACAAAAAAAAAATACATTCACGAAACATGGAAATTAAAAACTAAAATAATCCCGCTTTCCAATCGACGTAACATATCTATTAGTTCTGAAAAAAAAATGTTCCTGTACCACCTAAACGGTACCAAAATTAGACTGAAAGATCGAGGCAACTTTGTAACAACATCAACCGTTGTAATCTGATCTATTGATCTAGAATGTTTTGTAACTACCCTCGTGTCAAAATCGGGGGTGAAACAGGGCTCACGTGCTGCCGAAGCGGCTGGACATTGTCGCTCTTGTAGCAGAGCCACACTCTGTGGCAGTGGCCGTTAAGTTATTGGACGCCGAATGAGAAGGGACAGCTATTACAGGTCCTATCAACACTTTTCTCGCCGGATTAAGTCGTCCGTCCGTTTATCTTTTCTCTTTTTTCATTGAGAAAAATTGATTTTGATCGATATTTACCACAGCATGGGTTATAATTGGAAAAATAACATACAACGTGCAAAAATACCTAGCATATGATACATTAAAAGGGTTTACTGTTGCGGAAACCGTTCTTTTATTTACTTTTTACTCTGACAACTCTAGACAAAAATTTTCAGTCTCTCCAGTCTTTCAGCGTCTCTGAGAGCGCCTCTCACAGTCTCTCTGTTATTGCCTAGGTGTTTTTATGGATCTCTCACAGTCTCTGTATAAGAGACCCGAACGATAAAATTATTAATTCAGAGATTCGAGTCTCTCACAGAGAGACTGAATGAATAAAACTGAAAAATTGAGAGACTCGAGTCTCTCGTAGAAAGACTGGGATCTCTGAAATATGTTGAACTTAGAAAATATTAACCATGTCTATCGAGACACCACTTATTGAGAGATTCGAGTCTCTTGTTCAGAGATTCGAGTCTCTCATTCAGAGACTGGATACGAAATGAGGATCTCTCTATGAGCGACTCGAGTCTCTCGTTCAGAGACGCTAAACAGTTCTTTTGACAGTCTCTCTCAGCGACACCAGAGAGACCCGAATCTCGCTTTGACTGAACATTTTTATTTCGGAAAAATGATACTTTAATAAACATCTACCTAGTACAAAACTCGATGCATCCTCTTTTCAAATTCAATTAATGAATATCAAATTATTTATTAATTCAAAAACCAAGTATGTTTTTAATAACAACTGAGCAGATAAGTATTAATTCAGATTTCCTGATTATGTAAGAACGATAACTAGACAGGTACTTCCCCTTAATCTATCTAGATACATACACATTTATAATTTGCAACCCTTCGGGTCCGTGACTGTTTCCGCTTCGCGACAATAATAATCAACAAGCAATGTAACCGAATACCCGTGGGTGAATACGGACTCCCTCTACGACGTTTCGCACTCGCCCTCTCATCAGGGATCAATTAAGTGAGTTCTTGCACCCTCTCTAGGGACCTGACTATATAATAACTATCAGATGCAAGTGCACATCACCGAAACGAGAGCCAAGTTAGAGGCACACAAAGCAAAACGTGTGTGTTGCATTATTTGATTGTGTTATTGAGTAACAACGCGCTTTCTATAAACGGAATAAGTGCTAAAACGAGTCGACAAGGGGCGATTGACTGATAAAATGGTCTCGGTTTCTCATCCATCGATGCATTAAGTACTAGCTAAACGTGTTGCGAAACAATTAAACGATACAGTCGAAATGAAACAATTAACTTAATGTATTTTGGTATATCCTAAGGATGTTTGGGAGGTATGTCAAAATGCTACGAGACAAATAAAAATTTGGAAGAACGTTCCTCATTCAATTCTAAAACTCCTGTAAAAATTACAAATCAGTTCACTAAACCGTTAAAGTTATTGAAATTTAAAAAAAATTGTAATTTTACACGTCATTTAATGGAGATTCGTTAAACGAACAGATTAAATTTATTTTTATTAACAGAAAAAAAGCTACCAGAAATAGCAAACTTTTATAATAAGTAACTGGAGCTCTGGAGAATCACTTTAGCGTAATGTTATTCAAATTCTCTAAATGGTTATCGAGGAAAAAATGAAAAATTAGCTGAAAATCTCGTTTTTACTTGATAATATAATGATAATATTTGTAATTATCTGAAATAAATGCAATTTTAGAGTTTTAATTATTATTTCAACACATTAAAAAGTTTTACGCTCATTATTAATAGAGAATGAAACTAAATATTTTTTTG